TCTGTCTGTCTGTCTGTCTGTCTGTCTGTCTGTCTGTCTGTCTGTCTGTCTGTCTGACTGACTGACTGACTGTCTGTCTCTCTCTTTGAGTCTCTCTGTCTCTCCCTCCCTCCCTCTCAATACCCACTCTATATCTCTTTCTCCTTTCATAAACAATGAACATTCCGATAAGATTATCACAACCTCCAAAGTCGCGCAGAACGTAAACACAATACAAAAAACGTGGAGTGTGCGAATGCAACTTTAATTAGAGGATGATCTATATGTGGACCACGCACCCCCCCATCCCCCCCTTTCCCTTCCCACTCCCGTCCTCCCCTCTCATGCTCTCCTATCCACTCCTCCTACCCCCATCTCCCTCAGCTTACCCTTCAAGGTCTTCTGGAGGTGGCGTTGTTGGAAATTCGTCAGCTTCGACTCTCTCATCATGTCTGAGGAACAAGCACACGACCAAAAAACAAATAAACACTTTAGAAAATTAAAGATATATATCTACTTCAAAATTCCAGGGGCGAGGGAGGGGGAGGAGGAGGGAGTATATTTAATGTGAAAAGTTTCCAACAATAGGCTAATAATGAAAATAACATATCGACATTCAATGAGGTTTCCCCCGGTTTTACATCCCCCTCCCCCAACAAAAACATTTTAGAAAAATAAAAACAAACGAAATAAACACAACCAAAACAACGGATAATGATTTTTTGTTAATGCTTGAAAACGCTAATCTACATCTTTTCCAACTGACAAGTTATAATAATTTGTTATAACTATTAGCTATCTCACCGTCCTAAGAAGCTTACTTTTCTTGATTTGAAGTAAGCAGTACATGAAATGAGGTCACAACATTTTATAAAAGAACACCCCCACCCCCCACCCTCCCACCTTTTCCTCCCCCCAGAGTTGTTTTTTTCTGCCCCATGCTGGAACTCTAATCACACGCCTCACAGATGAACATTTTGAGAATCATCAGAACTTTACGGCTCTCGCAGAAAATCACTAGTTGTAATCATAGATCTGTAAAGTTCTAAACGTTAGAGACAAATTTATGTCTGTGGTAGAAAAAATAAGTCAGAAAAAAAAATGATTAGCAGAAATAACATTTTTGTCTTTTCATGGTAAATCTTTTATAAGCATGGTATACTCCTGAAAACAGCAGCAATTCAACACTGATATCAGGGGCTAAAACCAAACCAAGAGAGATGAAGGGACAGAGAGAAACTGCTTTTAGTTCAGATTTAGTAAGAGTTTTACGACAATTGTGAAATAAATAGGTCATAATATAAGCACCGAAAATTAGAGGTGTTGTGACTATAGAGTAACATATAAAGAAAAGAAGTAGGAGAGATAGGGACAATAGATGCTTGACAGAAAAAAGGGACAAAACACACAAGAGTGCAAACCAACCACCCACAAAGACAAACTGTGCTGGAAGGAGAACCCTAAATCATATTTCATCAAAGTTCAACTGCTGGTTGTTTATAGTCGGAACAGGTTTTTATGTTTCAAATGTTGAAAAGGAGTTTTTATTTTCTCTTAAATTTTGCCTTTGCTCATCTCTATAGTTTCATTATCAGGAAAGGGCGTTTTCATTTATTCTAAGTAAAACGCAAGAAAGATGCAATGATTACTTTGTTCCCAGCAGAAGTTTAAAAAATTACCTTTTTTTTGTACTAACTGCAAAGGCCAAGAAAGATGTAATGATTTTTTGAATGAAACAAAAGTCATAAAAGAAATACACAATTGAGATAAACAAAGATCTTTACGACTACTTGGGAGATAAAATCAAAGGAAACATAAGTGGTAACTACTAAAAGCATACATGTGAGGGCATGTCTCCAGTTTAATCAGAATATCTTCCTTCTCTGAGACCTAAAGTCAAGCCTTACTTGGCTATAAGTTTGGAACTGCTTTTGGTGCACATATTTACCACCAATTTAGATCTAGTTGCTCTCTTACCACAGGACTCATACGAAAGTTTCAGAGCAACACAGGGAGTTTAAAATTAATCTGTTGGTTCATGTCCCGTACATTTTGACTGACCGGTTGCTGTCTCCCCTCCACCCTCCCACCCCTCAAAAAACCAATTCCCTATATACAATTGAAAGGTAGTTCTTTCCCACTGGATTTCATAAAGAATGGGTCACTTCAATGTGTGACAGAGGCATTGGGAATGACAAAATGACCACACCTCTTTCAAATCTTTTTTAATCACCAACCAGTGTAGTGATATCAAGGATGTCACTAAGACAATCCTATGATGAGCTAGAAATAGAACGTGTTGTTTTTTTCCTTTCACCTTTAACCACAGCTGATGAAATCATGAAAAAACAGGCACCTGATATTTAACCTATCCGGACACTATGATCAGGCGCGATTCGTCCATAGAGCACGGTTGTGCAGTGCCGCCCAAAATGTTTTAATGTGCTATGACGTAAAGCACCCACAATAATAAAATGAAAGACACCAGAAACAAACATTAGCCAATTATTAAATTAAAACAAGGCCCTCGCTGGCACCGTAACTGTCATTTCTATTCTATAGCGCCGTAAAACATCTACTATGCCATGCCTAAGTTCATGCGCTGTATCTAAACAAAAGAGGATAGTCAACAGTGGGAACCAGACCTATAAATTGCTCTTTGGGATAACCCAAGCGATGACAACACTTGTAGTGAGTTTGGCGGTACATTAATATTAATAAGACGGCACATCTCAAATGTGCTCCTGCCGAATAGCGCCGAAACATAGCCCACAGTAGGCGATCTAAAAATAAACACCATAGACTGTGCACTATTCCATGCCAAAATTATGTGGGCCCCGGAGCAATCCAGCGGAGTGCTCAAGTGAATTGTGATTGGTTCATTGTCTTCATTTTAAGTGACTCTATGACCGTGAACCTGAGGGAGGTGAACGTGACATACTTAAGTCACCGTCCTATGAGTTGTGCTTTTGAACGGTTTCGTAGTGGAGTGGTGAAAGGTATTACTTGAGTGTTCAGTTCTAATGCAGGATGAATGAAATTGACATTTAGCTAACAAACAGATTTAATTCTAGAAGTCAAAGCCACAAGTAAAAAGAATGAAAATAAAAGCACAAGGTCTTCCTTCACCAACCCAAAGATCCTATAATTATACCCCATCCCATTTACTCTGCCCTTGATTATCTTCAGCCTAAGATAGCTTAATTGTGCACGCCCACTTTTTAGACCCACGAGCCGCCCCTGACTATGATTCACACAGGGAAAGGAAACATTTTAAATATGCACTTTTGTTTTCATCATCTTGGTCTCCTAAAAAGCAGTGAAGACATCTGCCATGAGTTAATCATTAGCGGGGTGATCTCAGTGAGTCATGGCTGTATACTTTCAAAAAAAGTAAACACTGCTGACATACTAGGGTGGGCTGATTCATACTCCCATGTCATTTATTCTTATTCATGCAATTAACAGGCTATAAGAAACTTCTTTCCTATTGATTATTGCTACAATGTTGAAGGGTTGAAGAGCCTTAAAATAAGTAAGAAAGTGGCCACCAAAGTTCAGTGACTTCCAAAGCTTCCAAAGTCCTTGGAAACTGAAAATTTACATTTTTTTGTGAATTTAACCAACATTTTTCAGAAAAATTGATAGAGAAATGTATTTTTCAAAGGAGATAAAAGGTGTTGAGCCAAAAATAAAAAGTTTGATAAAAACTGCCAAACCATCAGGAAAATGCTGGTATCTTCAATTTCATAAATTTGACGAGTGTCTGATTTCACCATGATACCTCACATATGTTTTAATCTTACTTACGAATGGGTTTTTTTAATCCACTGTTTATCTAATGAACCGTACTTTGATCAAAGATTGACATTTCCACACAAAGTCTCTAACTGAACTACACACCATGTGTGATGTGACTGTCATAACTTCATGCATCGAGCCCCACTGCTTTCGTGCAGCTATTTGCGCAACAAATAATGTCAGATTATTGTGATACCAAGAGCAGATAACACTGTATCAAAGCTAATGGTTAGTCTAAACTATTTCATTCGGCATATTTCTTTCTTCTTCTTAATTCTAGTTTTGCCCCAGTAAATGAAGAACACAGTGTACTTGCTTTTTGTATATTTTTTTCAGTTACAAGCTTTTGGTAAATATTGTTAAAAGACAGTGCTTTTAATACTTTGCAGTCACACAGCCAGCAGTACAAAATACCCCATCTGGTCTCCCAGCCAGGAGAGTGACTGCAACAAACTTCTCGGCCCTGGTGCAGGCGTATTATTGCGCCAAGTGACTGCATTCATTCCAAAATAGAACACTTTATTCAGAATACATAAGTTTGGTGAGGTGGGTTAACCTGGTAGGCTAATAATAATATTGTTGAAAAAAAGAAAGAAAAAAGGAGAAATCAAAAGAGGGGAGAGTTTTAGATGGGGAAGCAACGAAAATGATCATTATTAGATTACACTATCTATATTACGCTTGTACAATCTTTAAGTCGTATTTATTGAATTCCAATCAACTGGAACAGAATGCTCTGTGTCCTTCCAGTTACCCCCCCCCCCCTTGCTAAAAACAACATGACTGCATGTCATTTTCAACTCCCCAAATTAAATACACATTTATGTCCAGTCATCTACATCCATGTCTATAATATTAAGTCAAGTTGAAAATAGATACCAAGATACAGTACCTTAAGTTTCTTAATGAGAATTCGAAGCTCAGGCGTATTTATATTCTCAAATAGCAGCACTCATTCATTGTATCACCAAGTTCTGGATCAATAATCCAAGTCACTTTCCAAGTCAAGATCGTTAATCAAATTAAATCCTTCAACAATACACCTACCTGCTTTTTCTGCATTCAATCTCACAACAGGCCTCCCTAGAGTTGCAGATGGTTAAATTTTTGGCGTTGTTAAAGAGATGGATCTATATCCAACATATATTGGTGACACAAAAAAACTTTGTACAAATTCTGAACGACAGCATAGAATCTAGATCTATATCTTTTGATTCTGGCTGTTCAGAAAAATCCATGAAATAAATTCTTACACATAAGAGTTAACATAAATAATGTAATATAAATAAGGGTAACTTAAAAATGTGCCCGTCTGTTTAGACTTGGCATCATCAACACAGAGTACTGGATTGATACTGATTTAAATATTTCGTATCAATGTCTTATAAGTACATCAAGCCCTTGTCTAGCCTACAAAATGAGCAGTAAAATTTCACTGGTTTTTAAACAGGGCAAGGGGAGTTTCAGGGGGCTTGCACCTCTGACCTAACAAAAACATGGAGGGGGGGGGGGGTTCAACCTTTGAATTTGACCATAATTTAATGTTTTGCAATTAGTCATTAGGTATGATAGGCTCTCCATATCGGCACGCGCATCAAAAAGTAATCATTTAGAGCCAGAAGTAATCGTCAGTGGGGTCAAAACTAGTGTCCCCAAACGGGACCCAGATTCTTAAGTAGTAGTACCTAAATAAGAAGCACAGTATGGTATGGCTACGGCAATTCAGTTTAGTCAGCCAACTTTGAATAGCTTTTTACTTACTCAACTTACTGCACACATTGCAGGCTGCTAAAAATATTTCAGATTCTCTTCCCTTGGACTGCACATCTGTATCAATTAACTAGATTTTGATCTAGACTCTAGATTTCAATCCACATAGAGTTTTAATGCAGCCTAGCTAGTTAACCTAGGTCTTCTTTAGTTTACTCAGGAGAGACTAGATTACTAGATCTAGAATCTAGAATTCTAGATATCTAGATTCCAGTTCTAGATCTTGATCTAGATCTAATAATACCGGTCTGCATCAAGATCTAGGACGATAAAAAAACAACTACAACTAATAATGAAATTGATTTTCAAATTTTATGATATTTCACTCACCTTTGAGTAAATCATGAGTCTGTTTGCTATACACCACTTGTGGCGCATTCCAGAACCCTCCCTGTCCCTGGCCCGACATTTTGACGCTATTTCTGCTGCTAAGGGAGGCACTTCCGGAAAAATGTAAATAACGACGGCTCCGTACAAATTCTGTGTTAGGCTAATAATGTTATTCTTTGATATGTTATCCAGTACTAGCCTAATCCATAGATAAATAAATAAATAAATAAATACAATTAAAAAAACAAGGGGGAAAGAAGTTTGTATTTTGTATTCTTCCCTCCTCATTCGTTCATATTATTCCTCACCTATCTAGAACAATACTGCCATGTGTTTATAATTTTTATAACTTCGAAGTTTCATATCCACCATTAAGGAGGTTACAGTACAGTAAATCCTTGATATCCACAAACTAATCTAGATCTTGATCTATACCTAATCTGCACTCTTTCGCCATTACAGATAATATTATTTTCATTTATTTTTTGTATTGTCTATAAATCTGTTTAAAGTTGTCTTGAAACAGCTCTTAGGTCGTTTTGTTTAATCATCATCATCACCATTGCCTTTCTCACCCTGCACCAGGGTATAGGCCACGGACAAACACTCCCCACTTTTCCCTATCCTGAGCTAGCCTCTTGATGTTATTCCATGTCTTCCCACTTTTCTGTACATCGATTTCTGTGATTCTTCTCCAGGTTCCACGAGGTCTTCCCCTTGATCTCTTGCCCTTAGGGTTCCAATCCAAAACTTTCTTTGTTATGCAGCTGCCTGACTTCCTGAGAGTGTAAGTCCAATCAATCGCCATCGCCTTCTTCCTACCTCAGCCCCGACCGGGATCTGTCCTGTTTTCCTCAATACATGTACTTCCACACTGGTGACCCTGTCTGTCTATCTGAGCCTCAGTAACTTTCTTAGACACCAAGAAAACCTGGATCCTCTTTATACACGTCTGTGATGCGTTCCATGCCTCACATCCATACAACAGGACCGACTTCACGTTTGAACTGAAAATCCTCAGCTTTGTTCGAAGTGAGATCTCTCTGGTCTTCCAAATCCTATCCAAAGATATGAAAGCAGCCTGTGCTTTTCCAATGCGGGACTTTATTTCAGCATCTGTTCCTCCCTCTCTGTCAATTATGCTCCCAAGATAGCAGAAGGATCCAACGTTTTCTAGGGCCTTTCCTTCTATTGTGACCTGCTCCTTTCGTTGTGCATCTGTCCTTAGGACCTTTGACTTTCCGGGGTGGATCCTCAATCCAACAGACTCCGATAGACTGTTTAATACTAAAGTCTTTGCTTGCATCTGTTCCTGGGTGTACGACAGAAGCGGTAAGTCGTCTGCAAAATCCAGATCGTCCAACTGTGTCCATGGTGTCCACTGTATACCATTTCTGTGTCCTCTGGTGGTTTCTTTCATCAGCCAGTTGATTGCCAATATGAAGAGGAACGGTGATAGTAAGCATCCCTGTCTCACTCTAGTCTTGATGTCAAAGCTGTCCGTGAGCTGGCCATCATGTACAACCCTGCAACTTGACCCTTCGTACATGCTCTTGATGAGGTTCACCAACTTCTGTGGGATTCCGTGGTGTCTCATTATCTTCCATAGTGTCACTCGGTCTATACTGTCATAGGCCTTCTCATAGTCAAGGAATTTGACAATCAGCTGGGAGTTCCACTCCAGGGACTGTTCCACAATAATCCTCAGCGTGGCAATCTGGTCGGTGGTTGAGTGATTTTTCCGGAAACCGGCCTGTTCATCACGTAGTCTTGGATCCGTTCCTGTCTTGATTCTCTCCAGGATGATTCTGTTGAAGACCTTACCTAGTATTGAGAGAAGAGTGGCCCCTGTGTAGTTGCTGCAGTTGCCGAGATCCCCCTTTTTTTGGAAGCTTCACGAGGTGTCCTTCTTTCCAATCCTTTGGGAACTTGCTCTCATTCCAGATCGTGTTAAACAGTGGGAGGAGGATGTCTGCCGTCACATTGGCATCTGCGTTTAGGGCTTCAGGTGGAATCTGGTCGGGACCGGCCGCTTTACCTTTGTTCAGCTTCTTAATGGCATCCAGAATCTCTTGTTTTGAAGAAGCATCACAGCAGATAGGTAACTCATTTCTTGCTGGCAGTATGTTTGGTGGGTTACTCGGTGGTGGTCTGTTCAGGAGACTGTTGAAATGCTCTACCCATCGCTTAGACTGAGCTTCCTTTCCCAAAATGCTTGTCCCCTCGTGGTCCTTTACAGGTACTTCAGGTTTCCCATATTTCCCAGCAAGTGTCCTTGTAGTCTGGTTAAGGATTCGCATGTGCCCTCCTATCGCTGCTTCCTCTGCCTTCTCTGCTTGCCTGTTTATGAATTCCCCCTTCCTTGTCTTTTCTTATTGATTTCTTGACATCTTTAGCTGTTGTCCTGTACTGCTCCAATGCATCCCCTCTTGATCCTCTTGTTCTACTTGCATTCGCTTCTGCCTTCAGTTGTCTTCTTATCCTAATTAAATCCAGTGAGTGTTGGCTAATCCATTCCTTGTGCTCCCATTTCTTCCCACCGAGTATTTCTTGACATGTTGATGTAAAGACCTCTTTGACCTTGGTCCAGTGTGTATCCACCTCCGTGTCCTCACCGCCAAGATCAGCCAGAGGTTGAAATCTGTTCCTCAGCTGCAGTTGAAACTCTTCTTTCTTGTGTCCGTCCAAGAGACTTACTTGGAACTTTTGATTCCTGTGCTGGTTCCGTGCTTTTTAGCCGAAGCTTGAGTTTGCCAACAGCAGATGATGATCCGATCCAACACCTGCCCCTCTCTGTACTTTGACATCTTCCAGTGAACTCCTGAACTTACGAAAGATGCAAACATTATCTATCTGGTTCTCCGTCACTCCATCTGGCGAAACCCATGTGGCCTTGTGGATCCTCTTGTGGGGAAAAACAGAGCCTCTAATAACAAA